ACTGGGTTTGATTCTCAGCACCATATACAAATAAATAAAAATAAATGTCCATCAACAACTAAAAAATGTTTCTAAAAAAAGGTTCCAAGTTTCATATGTGAATACACCACCAATGTAACTCCACATCATGTACAACCACAAAAATGCAAAGTTATACTCTATGTACAATATGTCAAAATATACTCTACCATCACATAAAACTAAAAAGAAGAAATTAAAAAGTGAAAAAAAAATGTTTCCAAGGAGTGCAGAGTGTGGTGGGGCATGCCAGTAATCCCAGCATCTCAGGAAGTTGAGACGAGAGGATTGTGAGTTCAAAGTCAGCCTCAGCAATTGAGGGAGGCCCTAAGCAACTCAGCGAGACCCTATGTCTAAATAAAATATAAAAAAGGACTGAAGATGTGTCTCAGTGTTTAAGAGACCTTGGGTTCAATCCTTAATAATAAAAAAAAAATGTTCCAAGGAGTGATCAGGTTCCAGGCATGGCTGAATCTGCCAATTCAAATGATGTTGTCACACCTCACTCTCTCTCTCAATGGTTGTTTCCTCTGGATTAACTTCCTGCTCTAACAGGAAGGACCTTCCTCAAGGTGAAACAGGCCACAAGCAACCTCATCACCTAAAAAAACCCAGAATTTCCTTGACCTTCTGATGGTGAACAAAAACAAGAACACAAATAAATAAATTTTAAAAATGGATTCTTCATGGAACTGGCTTGGATTGTACAAGTATGGCTGAGTGAAATGTTGAGGCCCGAGGATGGTATGTTCTAACAAATCAGGCCACAGTCTCAATTCTACCCTGAGAAACATGTAGTAGTCTCAAAAGGAGAGGGATCAATAAACAAATATTAATGAGATGAAATGAAGCCAGGCTCAGTGGCACATGCCTGTAATACCAGTGCATGGGAGGCTGAGGCAGGAGGATCATGATTTAAAAACCAGCTTCAGTAACTTAGCAAGGTCTTAAGCAACTCAGTGAGAACCTGTCTCTAAACAAAAGTCAAAATAAAAGGCTGGGGTTGTGCCTCATTTGTTAAGTGCCACTGCGTTCAATGCTCGGTACAAAAAAAAAAAAAATTTTTTTAAAGAATTTGAAATAAAAACACAGCTGAAGCCTGCTATCATCTTTTTTCATTTCTTTCTGGGAGGAACTCTCTATGTGTGACAAATGGAAATAATAAGCCCACTGTACACCTCCTTGTGCTGCCTAGTTTAACAAACATTCCCCCTGTCCTAAGGAACCCTTACAACCAATCAAGAGGCAAATGATATCACTCTATCCTTTATAGAGATGAGGCAATTGTGACCTAGAGACATACAATGGCTTGGTTGAGTCTTCAACAGGTAAGGAATTGAAGAGGGATGATGGAGAGGTGTGTGCAGAAAAAAAGACGAAGAAGACATTGGCACCAGTGTGTGACTAGCTCCCCCACCACATCATCGCACATCCACCCCCTCTCCTCACCAGCTGCAGCTGGTGATAGGGCCTCCCTTATCATTCTGATCCTGCCAGTGTCTACCACAGCTTCTCTCTGACCTGTACTCACATTTCAGCCTGTGTTCCTCTGTGGCCAGGAACACTTTCATTTTATTTCAGGCTCACTTTCATTCACTGTTTCACCATGCACCCAAGGAAGTGTGCCCGCTGGGTGGGCCTCTCCCTAATATCTCTCTCCCTAGTGTGCATGATGGCCAATGCTCTCCTATTGGTGCCTGATGGGAAGACCTGGAGCTCAGACCAACTCAGCTTGCAAGTCCTGCTCATGCCTGGCTTCATCGGCGGGGGATTGATGGTGAGGTGTGTATAGAGCACAGGCCAGTCATCAGGGTATGGGCATCACTGAAAAGGATTGTGAATGGGAAGGGAGGGGAGATGAAAAGGACCATGCTCCAGAGGGGTGGCAAGCGCTTGGTGGGGAGTAGGAATGTACAAGGTGCTCCCCCTATAAACTCAGCACTCTGGAGACAGCCCTGGAGGAGCCCCCAAGGACCTGAGATGAATGTGTAAGGGAAGGAGAAGGCAAGGAGGGGAGGCTCAAATCTCTAAAGAGCTCCCTTTATGGGTCAAAGCTTGTCCCACCTGACCCTCCCTGCACAGGCAACTGAGCAGATGTTGGGGACCCCTCACTACAAGGGTCCAAGCAGAAGGAGCAGCTGGCTGTGTGGGAGGTTATCAGGGAAGAGTAATAATAGGCATGGGGAGGTACAGCAGAAAGGTCTGGAGCCAGGCAGTGATGTCACCCATCAGTCACTCTACCTCTCAGCTCAGTGCTGCCCCTCCCTCCTCCTCTTCCACTCACTCTCAGCCCACATTCTGGATGCCCACTCTGTGCTGGGTGCTAAGGACAAACTCAGAAGCAGGTCAATCAGGCAGAGAAGTTGCCCCCAAGGCTTCCTGGAGATGAGGATCTGCTGGAAGAAGTGAAGGAAGAGGAGACAGATTTCCTGTATCTCCTCCTCCTCTCTTTCCCCGTTTAGGGGAAGTTTAGATGGTCAACCTAGTGTAATATTTGTGGGGGGGCAAAATTGAGAGATCTACCCAGCAGAGTTTCCCTCTTTTCAGGACAGCTGACAGATAACATGCTCTAGAAGAGTTCTCACCTTGTCCCTATTCTGGGTCACATCTCTGTTACCTAAATGAGGATACCGCTCCTTTAACTAGCAACTCCCTCTTACTTTCTGAGGTCTCTTCTACTCCCCATCTCTTGCATCATAGCTGTTGGACTCTACTCCATCTCTCTGACTTCTATTATCTCTGAGATGTCACACTCCTCTAGGCCTACATACTTGCCCATTGTCATATCATGTTCCTTCTTCAACCTAAACTACCTCACACTCCTCCACCCAATCTAACTAATCATCTGTAGAGGCCACCTTCAACACTATGCTCCCAACATTCTAATTCACAGCCCTCTTTCTTCCCCTCTACTACTCGAGTCACTCTCAGGAAGTACCATATTATGCCACGGAGACACAAACAAGGTTCCTGCTCTCCTGGAAAACTGGTACCTTTTAGGGGGCAATGGTATGAGGAATCAAAACCAGAAACCCCATGAGAGCAAGTACTGTTTGTTTTGTTGGTTGCTGTGTGCCTGAAGCCTAGACCAGTGCCTTCACCTAACAGGAACTTGGTTAATAGTCACTGAATGAATGAAGTAATCCATAAGATGATTTCAGACAGTAGTAGGTACCATCAAAAATAAAATAATTAGGACTGAAGGTATAGGTCAGATACTTACCTAACATGTGTGACACCTGGGTTTGATCCCTAGCACTACTGCAAAGTGTGTGTGTGGGAGAGAGAGAGAGAGAGAGAGAGAGAGAGAGAGAGAGAGCTATGCATATTAGCACATGCCTGAGAGACAGAAAGAGCACTATGTATAGTAACACATGTCTGCAATCCCAGTTAATTCAAAAGGAAGATAATGCAAGGTGCAGGGGCACATGCCTATAATCCCAGCAACTCAGGAGTCTGAGGCAGGAGGATCACAAGTTTGAGACCAGCCTGGGCAAGAAAAAATTGAAAGGACTGGAATATGCCTCAATGGAGAGAGCCTTAAGGTACAATTGTCACTACCAGAAGAAAAACGGGGGGGGGGGGGGAGAAAAATATAAATTTTATTGAGGCCAACCTAGTAAAATTAGAATATATACAAATATGTGTGTGTGTGTATGTGTGTGTGTGCATGTGTGTGTGTGTGTGTATTTGTGTGTGTGATTACACTGCAGTACAGCTCAGGGGCAGAGTGCATGGGTTGATCAATCCCTAGTACCACAATAAATAAATAAGTAAATAAATAAACAAATTGATTTATCATATAGAGCTCCTAGCACAAGATGTTTGGGGATTTTAGGGTTTGGGTTGTTTGTATGTGTGTGCATGCATGCTCACTGGGTATGAACTCAGGGCCCTGTGGAAGCTCAACACATGCCCTATTATTGAGCTAGATCCCTAGCCCCAGCTCATTTTACAAAGTGGACATACCCACATATCCACTACCCAGATCAAAAAACAGTTAATTTACATACCTGCATTGGAATGACTCAGGAGGCTAAAGCAGGAGGATCTTGAGGCTAAGGCTAGGAGTTTCAGGTCAACATGAGTAAAATAGCAAAACCCCATCTCATAAAACAAACTAACAAAAAACAGATCATTATTACCAGAATCTCAAACATGCCTCTTACCAGGTACTACTCCTCAACAACAAGGTTAATTCTATCTTCCAACCTCCAGAAACTGGTTTGGTTTCTTCAGTACTCTATTTAAAATGAAACCATACACTATGTGTTATTTCATGTCTGGCTTCTTTAACATAATATTATATTTATAACCCATCCATAATATTTTATGTAGCTATAGCTTTTCTTATGCATTCCATTGTATAACTATAATTTAAACATTCTACCATTGATGGACATTTGGATAGTTTGTAGTTTGGGTTTATTGCAAATAATATTCTTATTATATTTCTGTAGCTGTCTTAGGTAAATATATGCATTTATTTCCATCCTGTCTACAGTTAGAGAGGAGTACGATTGCTGATTCTTTTTTTTTTTTTTTAGTTGTTGATGGACCTTTATTCTATTCATTTATTTATATGTGGTGCTGAGAATCAAACCCATGCCTCACACATGTGAAGCCAGCACTCTACCAGGGAGCCACAACCCCAGCCCAACACTGCTGATTCTTATGGTTGGCAAATATTCAGTGCTAATACTGACAAATAGTTTTCTATAGTTTCTGTATCAATTTGATTCTGATCAGCACAGTGTGAGAGTTCTAGTCACTACCCACCCCACTGGATAAGTAGATCCCCTGGCTATTGTGTGGAGAATGGATAGTAGGAGGTCAGCCATAGATGCAGGAAGAGGAGACTAATGTCACGGAGGAAAGAGTATCTTGAAATAAGCCCGTGACCATGATGATAGACAGAAGTCAGCAGATTCGAGCTATAAACAGTGTTGTCTCTTGAATTTATGATAACTCTTCTCTTTTTGTGAAGATAATTAGAGGGCTAGGAGCAAGACAGGGAAGCTTATACCACAGACAAAAACAAAAACTTTGACCAAAAGTAAAATTCTGAAGGAGGTGGGTCATTTAAAATTGACAAAATGTGTTGGGGGTATAACTCAGTGATACAACACTTGCATAGTATGGCAAGGCCCTGGATTAGATTGCTAGCTACTCAGCACACACACACACACACACACACACACACACACACGTAAAGCCAGAGGCAGTTCTAGATATCTGTGGATCCTGGAGCCTCCCAGTAAGTGACCTCACCAGTGAGGGTAAGCAATGGGTGGAGAATGGCCCTGAATTGCCCTGAAACAGGAAGAGGGGCATGAGAGTGCTGGTAGAAATTTGGTTCCACTCATCAGGTGTTTCTCTGCAATGGCCCTCCTGAGTCACTGGGTTTAAGGTGTGTACCATCACACCTAGGCAAGACCAAGTTTAATCTGGTGGTGGCATGTGAATGAACTGTGGTGTGGCAAAGGGCAAGAGCAATGAGACTTTGAAGGGAGGCTGAGAACTAAAACTCTCAGCCCCTTCCCTGGAAAAGAACAAAATGCTGCCTTGTATGGTGTATGCCAGACCAGACCAACAGGGAAGGAAGGATCAAAACAGCTGTGGAATTACAGGGATGGGAGATGAACCTGGCCTGTGCTATGATCACAATGACAAGGCTGGAGGCAGAGTGAGGAGCCTCAAAATTCTTCCTAGGATTTAGAAACCTCCTCCCACCAGAAGGAAGGCTAAGAACATCTTCCTAATGGAACTTAATTAGGAATTGAATGGGGGAAGAAGGAGAAAGGACTGATTGATTCAGGAACCATTGAAGAAAGAGACAAGAAGAGTTGAAATCTGACTGGGTGCAAAAGGATTAGAGTTGTTAAGCCTAAGGGACCTGATGGGTGATATTTTTCAAATACAAGAATGAGGAAATCAAAGGGAGATTTATTTGGGAAATATTTTGAGGTCACCTCTGAAACTGAATCTGAGCTAAAATCAAGACATTTGAGTGAACTGCCTTCAGGCAGTTGGGTTTCGATCTCCAGGCATGTGGAGGTGACTATTAGCAGAGGGAATTACCTGGGAGAGGATGGACTTTGTGAGAAAAGTCACAGGAAGAAAAAAGATCAGGGGCTGGATCTTAGGAAATCCCACAACCCACATCACAGCATTCGTGAACACACTCTACCATACCCTAACTCACCAGACCTTCAACACCACTACCTCTTCCCACTGCTGAAGACATTTATAGCTAAGGAGAACTTACTGTAAATCAGCCTTGACATCAGGCCCACCAGTTATCTCTTTCATTCCTAATCACTGAGAGCTAGGTTTTACAAACCCATTTTACATTGGACACAACTGAGACACAGAGAAAGCAATGAGTTCATTGAGTGTGAAGTAGTGTGTCCCTGGCCTTCCACTCAGAGCCTCCAGATTCCCATTCAGATATGCACCTACTAGGTGCCAAGATTCACAGGGAATGTTTAATACTAAACCCAAACCCTAAGTAATATACAATATGGACAGAGTTTAGATAGGCAGGCAAATAAAGTATTGTAGAGCCCAACCATGCTCCAGGACAGGTAGAGATAAGGTCTTCCCATAGTCCAAAGGCCTGAGGACAAAATAGCCAGCTTCTGGAAAAGATGGAGACCTTCAGGATCTGGGTTGGGGTGGAGGGTTCACACTATCACACTGACTCTTGTCCCACAGGTGCTGTGTCTGGGAATTGCACTGGTTCGGGAAGCTAATGACTATGACTGCCCGGTGAGATCCCAGTTATGTAGAGATTTGGCCAGGCATGGTGGTGCACACTTGTAATCCAAGGGACTGGGTGGTTGAGGCAGGAAGGATCCCAAGATTGAGGCCATCCTCAGCAATTTAGTGAGACCCCATCTCCTAAATAAAAAATATAAACTGCTGGGGATGTATCTCTTTGGTAGAGCGCTCATGGGTTCAATCCCAAGTAACACCAGCATCCCCTCCAAAAATGGAGAAAGAGATTGAGGATTCTGTCTCTGAACCAGTCTCTCATGGAGCCACAGCACCCTCTGCAGAATTTCAAGCATTCTGTTACAGGACTACATCCCCAGCCCACAGAATGTATTTTCAACCTGGCTCCAGAGGAGCTGGGCAGTGTTGGGGGTGGAGCTAGGTGTGGCTGGCCCAGGAGTGGGGAGGGGACAGCCATATCCAGCCCACCTTCCACACCCCTGTCCAGGAGTGGTGTTTACCCATCTGCTTTATCGAGGGACTACTTGGTGCCATCTACTGCCTCACCATGTCAGCAGAAGGACTCAGAATTGGACCCAAATGCTCAATAAATGGCAAGTGGGACTATCACTTCCAACGGTAAGGCTTAACTTGTATTCGTGACCCCCACTCCCCATCCCCCCATGCCCTTCCCACGTGGGCCAGGAAACCTGGGTGCCACAGAGCTTCAGGAGAATTCCCTCCTGTGGGCCTAACTAGCCCTTTGAAAATCCCATTCAAAGTGGGGTGCCTGTAATCCCAGTGGCTTGGGAGGCTGAGGCAGGAGGATCAAGAGTTCCAAGACAACCTCAGCAAAAGCAAGGTGCTAAGCAACTCAGTCTCTAAATAAAATACAAAATAGGGCTAGGGATGTGGCTCAGTGGTCGAGTGTCCCTAGTTAAATCCCCATGAAGAAAAGAAAGAAAGAAAATACCATTAGGTGTGTTCTCAGGAGATGGGGTGGGGGAAGGGTGCTGTGTTTCCTCCTTGGATCTCTTGACCCTACTCATTCACAGAGATGAATACTTGAGCCACCCTGATGACTGGAATATCTGTGAGGAGCCATCCAATGTGGTGTCCTGGAATGTGACACTCTTCTCCTTGCTGGTGGTTGTCTCCAGCCTGGAGATCCTCCTGATTTTCAGCGGCTATTGCTTCACTTGTATTGCTGTTTCAGATGAACCCAGATCAAATCCATTTTAAAGTCATAAAAAGTTAATTTCTGTTTTACTATAAATTACTGCGATTTCCAGACTTGTTTGGAATTCCTGCCTGTGCCTTGAATTCACCCATGCCTGGCTTTCCCTGACCAGATAACAACCCTCTCTACGACCTTACTGGCACCTCATAAATCCTGGTTCCTCCTGACCAAATAACAACAATTCTGATGTTGGTGTTATGCTCAAATTCGGGACCCCCAAAAGACCACCAGAGACCAAGATCAATGTAAACAGCAAAGAGGTGTTTATTGCAAGCTAACTCGGTCCTCTGTGCGCACACAGCAACTGGTGACGCTGAGAGGCCCCGAGCCCAGGGTTTGCAGCAGTTTTATACATTCTTTGGAGAAGGCAGGGACCGCCACATACATCATAGTATCTCTTAGCAAATCATCACACACCACGGGAAAATCAAATAACAACTCTAAAACATGAGTAGCACATTCACTGGTGGGAACAAGTTGGGTAGGGGTGATTGGTTACTACAAGAGGGAAATTCGTTTGAACTGATTGGTTTAAGCCAAGGGGGTGTTCCTGCTGAACTAAGTGGTTTCCCAACACCATAAACTCCTGGGAGGGTCATCTGGCAACCCAAGTATTTCCCTGTCTCATGCTGATTGGTGGCTGCTAGGGGGTTGCTATGGGTCCTCACCTAGCCTGACTGAGTCAGGGACACCTGTCACAGCAGATCTCTCCTGTTATTTGTAGATAAACAACATAGCAGGGTGGGAATGTGCCTAGGAGTGCTCTGTGCATCTTTCCAAGGACAAAGGTCATGTCCCTTCCTTGGACATGCTTTGCCCTGAGGTAGAGGATGGTTTTTCATTGGGATATGAATTACTCCCTATCTTGAACTAACATGCCCTGTAGATCATTAACCTACTATCTGCCTTTGTAAATGCTTCTCAAAATCGTGTTAGCTCTACGTTCTTAAGACACCCCCTTTTGCAACTTTTTGTGCTATAAAACCTTATTCCTGCAAAGCTGGGGGGCTAGTCTCTAGCCCACGTTAGAAGAGACAGCCAACACTTATCAGCTCTTTTTGTGTACACAAATACAAGCTTGCTTTAATTGGATTTAAAATTGGAGTTGGTGGTCTTTTCTTTGTATCAGGGTTTAAGAGTTTGAATAATTGTAACGGTGCTCCACTTCTCCATTTTATTAAAACTCTCCTTGTTCTGAGGCTTATTTTTGAAAGCAAAAAAAAAAATTTTTTTTTCCTTTTCTCCCTCCTGCCTCCCTAACCTGGGGTCAGGGAACAAGATTACCCTGAGTTATCTGTGCTCCACAAGAAGAGGATCTAGGAAATGAATAGCTCCAGGGCACACCTGGAAAGTAGCCTTTTGTCAGGTTGGTGGTGGTGACTTAGAACAAAGCAGCCCTCAAGGGGAAAGAAACATCAATCAGGCACCAACAGAAATGGTATTCAATCAACAGGATCTCCTGACTAATGCCTTTCAATCATCAGGACCTCCTGGCCAATCCTGAAGTTCAGCCAAGCTCCCCTGACCAACTCTAGCAGGACAAGGGACTCCAAAAACACCTTTTCCTGTCCCAAGCCCTTCCCTTCCTGCATGAGCCCCATAAAACCCCAGTCCCGTCCAGTGATATACTTAGCCTAGTTCTCTCTTTAGATCAGAAGCCAGATTGTCACAAGTTATGAAGGATTCATTTCTGTTTTCTGTAAAAATATTAGGATGTCTGTATGGCCTGGCCATTAGTTGATGTTGTAAAGCTGATTGGAATGCCTGCCCATGCCCTGAACTCACCCAAGCCCGGTTTTCCCTGATCAGATAACAACCCTTTCCTAAACCTTAGTGATATCTCATGAATTCTGGCCTTCCCTGGCCAGATAATGACCCTCTCTGAGTCTCTAACACCTCCATAAATTCTGATGTAGGGGCCAGCAAAAATGTAAACTTGTGTTATGCTCCTCAGTGTTTTGTTATCTGTAATCCTCCTTTGTGTAACATTTTGGGCTATAAAACTGGGCTGCAAGGAAGCTTCTGGGCTGTCCTTGGCTCCCATGATTTTGATGGGAAAGCCAGCCTGGTGGGTCGAAATAATAAGCTTGCTTTAATTTCATTTTAATTGGAGTCAGTGGTGTTTTCTTGTGACGTGGTCTAACACCAGCTCCCATGTGGTTTCTCAGACCCTTCTCCTGTCCACTGTGTGGGTCTGATTGAGTTCTGCCCAGGAAAGATATCAAAAGAAAGCCTCATGGAGGGGGGAGAGTTGTGGCTCAGTGGCAGAGCACTTGCCTGGCATGTGTGAGGCACAGAGTTTGATCTTCAGCACCACATATAAATAAATAAAAAATAAAGATACATCAACAACTTAAAATATTTTTAAAATAAAACAAAATAAAGCCTCATTCCACAGCCTTTTTAAATCTGCCTCCTTTGGTCTCTGCCCGCCTTTGCCTGATCTTACAACTTTGAAAACCTTTTTTAAAAGCCCTCTGTTTCCCTATGGGCAGAACCCAGCCTCTGGGACACTAGTCCCCTGTGTTTCTCATTTCATTGCAAAGTAATAAAACTACTTTCACTTTTTTCTCAAAACCATGTCTTCATTATTAAATTGGCATGAATTGGCATTGGTGACAAAGACCCAGCTTTCAGTAACATTACTTTGTCATTTGTGAAGATTACAAGAAAAACTGAAGCAAAATCAGACAGGCAATCAGTAGAAATATGTAAATGGAGTCAGGTCAGATCTAGGAGGCCAATTTTGAGTCAGGAAGTTAGAGACTGTCCCCTGATGGGTTGAAATGTTAATTCCTTCAGAGCCCTTCCTCCACCCTTATCAAGAACCTGCCCCTGCTCCAACCTGTGGCTAAGGTAACCTGACCCAGGAATTGCCCCTCCCTACAGGGAGCTCTAAAGTTGTTGATTAAGGTGTCCTGGGCTCTGCCATCCTGCCCTTCCCCACCTCTTTTCCACCTTTGACAATCCCACAGAAAGAGCATGCTCTTTCTCCTTACCTAACTTGGGAAGGAGAAAGATAAGAGGAAGAGGGCAGGAGAACAAAGGAAGCCTAGGACATATAAAAAGGGCAGAACACCTTGCTTCTTGGGATACCAGGATACTAGCTATGGCCTCATTCTCCCTCCTAGGAGAAGTCTCTGTTACCCCTTTTTAAATAAACCCTGCTTTATATGCTTGCCTCAGCATGCTTCTTTAATGTTCAAACTTCAACTTCTGAGGAAGCAGGACTCTTCACCAAAACCCAGCAGTATCCAAAGGATAGGACCGTGTGAGGTGGAGATGTGGAGGAACCTGCTTGGTCCTGGCTAAGTCCTTGCTCACACTGTCTTTTCTGCTGGGCTCAGCTCACTGAGGCTCCACTTATACCTGCTTATACCTGCTTGCCCCTGGACCCCTGCCTGGCCTGCCCACTCCATGGACCCCTGGAATAAACTGTTTTGAGTCCACTCACAACACTCCCCGCTCAGATAATGCCCTAAACCAGCAGGAGTGTGTGAAGGCCTCCTAAGCTTGGTGTTCTTCTGACACTGTTAGAGGCCCCAAACCCTACTTATTTTTTTTCAGAGTTGCTGAGCTATTAAGTGGCTCAGGAATACATTGGTAAACAAGGCAGATAAGTTTTGTGCCCTCAAAGAATTTAACATTCCAGTGTGGAAAAAGAAATTTTAAAAGAAGCAAAGGATGGTCTGGGGCTGTGGCTCAGCGGTAGAGTACTTGCCTCGCACGTGCAAGACCCTGAGTTTGATTCTCAGCACCACATAAAAATAAATAAGTGAAATAAAGGTATTATGTCCAACTACAACTAAAAAATAAATATTTTTTTTAAAAAAGAAAGACCAAATTATAAAAAAATAAAATAAAATAAAAGTAAAACAAGCAAAGTATTATTTCAATTGATGGTTGTTGGGAAAACATATAACGGCAGCAGCACCCCAGAGAAAAACCTCAACATGGCGCCTAACGACCCTCTTTCTCCTCTTTTTTCTTTCACTGGTGCAAAACGTTCCCGCTGGCACCAATGTTCAAATCCTGCGGGTGGGAAACCTTAGCCACAATAAGAATTAACTTCTTGGGCTCTGGATCTGACATATGGAAGAGCTTGCCAATAAACGGGTGACCCGTTATCTACCTCAGCCCTGCCACCTCTCCTTAGGTCTATATAAACCCACAGCCTTTTGTAATAAAGCGGAACCTCTCCGGTGATTTGTGTCATGTGGTGTCTCCCATTCGTAGTGCGGTGCGGTGTCTTACAGTGGTGCTGAAAACCCGGGAGACAGTGTGCTTGATAAACCAAGCCCCGTCTCTGCCACCGCCATCTCCAGTGACACATTTCGCCCTTGTCTGTCTTTGTGGGTGCTGGCTCCCTGCACTCACCACTGATCGAGTTTAGGTAAGTTCCCCCTCTCCGGCTCGCCAACTCCCTTCAGGCAGCAGCAGGAGACGCGATCGTGATTGTACAGCATGCCCCTGACACCTAGTAGGGAGGAGGGAATGCACCCCACTAAGATTTCACTGGTCACAGGGGACCCTCTGGTGACCCGCTTCCCTTTGGGGCGTGAGGATTCTGGGTTTACACCAGAGGCTCCATGGTCTCTTCCTCCTCCGCGGAAGCTGTGTCCCACTGGAACTCACCCCGCAGGAGCTGTGTTCAGCCTGGAGCTGAACTTCCGGCCCAGAGCTGCGTTCTGCTGGAGCTCTGTCCCTTTTCTTTCTTGACTCTCTCTAGTTCCAGTCGAAAAACTTTCCTGACACCAGGTTGCCCACGGCCTAGACACTACAGGGTCACACACACTGCACTTCGTCGGTGATGACCGAGCTGTGCCCTCTGTGCCTACTCGCAGTGGACTGGTCACTTCGGGGACGCCCACGTGATCCTCCATCTGCTCTATGCTTCCAGGAAGCCCCTACAGCCCGGGTTAATTCTTTTTCTTCCTCCACTCTTTAACTAGGGGTGCCTCCTCGTCTATACCAGAAACCTCACCACTCAAGTGTCTCCTTGAGAATTTGGCTACTCTCTCTCTCCCCAGACCTCAAGCCCAAAATTCTTA